AAAAAAAAAAAAAACGAAGTAAATCGGAAGCTGCTTGCGGGAAGAGGTCTTGCCGAGCCTAACGGAAGACGAACCCGAAGCCTCGACGCAAGAAGGGTCGCTCGACTCTCAACCACCCTAGCCGTATCTCTAGGTCGAGCTCAGGTAGAAGCTGCTCGGGAGAAGTTCTATCGGACATCAAAAGACAAAAAGAATCCGCTTGAAGACGGCTCTTGGAAGCTCCTTCGATCTTCCTGTCTCACTCGGATACGCCAGACAGAGCCGTGCTGAAGAAGACGACGTAGACGGAGCCCTTCCAAGCGGAACCTTGCCGACGGAAGACGTGGGACGAAGCCTGGCCGACTAGACGCAGTATTCAGCTGTGGAGAAGCTAGCGGGACGAGAGCCCTCATGCGTGCGAGTCTTCCAATCTTTCCGTCTGCGCAAGGTGCGACCACGAAACCTGGTTCCGTCGACGACTATGGCTCGCACGCGGTCGACTTGGGAGACTCAGCCATCCTTCTTCCGATCTGAGTCAGGAGGAACCAGACTCTGCCTAGAGCTCCGCTCCAGCCGTTGTTGGCAAAGCTCCATCTGCGGAAAGTGCGACCGCGAAGCCTCGCGAATACAAAGAAAGGATGGAGCGGTGCCGACGAAGCCAAATACCCAACGGAACCTACGGGACGAGCGACTCGATCGGAACTTCCAATCTAAGCCGAAGGAGCGTCGTACCCGATCCGACAGAAAGGGAAAGTCAACGAAGGAGCGAAGCAGCCCACTCGATAACCCCTTCCGATCGCAAATCCCAGACGATCCACGCCTGCGACTCGCGGGAGGAAGCCAAGCCCGCGTGCGACTTGGGGGGTGGAACCGCAACCCGTGCCCTACTCCAATCCGAGCCTTTTTTTTTTAAGGCTCGGCCGGTTCGATTTAAAAAAAAAAAAAAAAAAAAAAAATTTTTTTAAAAAAAAAAAAAAACTTTTTTAGTGAAAATAATTAAAAAAAAAAAGTTGAGAAAATCTTTATCATCGACCTTTATTGTCGACAAGGGAAATTTTCTCCGAGAAGCCTTCATTGTTGAATTTCTGAGGAATACAAAGTTACCACCACCGACCTTCATTGCTGGAATTCTGAGAAATAAGGGTTCCCACTACCGGCCTTCATTGTTGGAACTATGAGAAATACAGGTTCCCACTACCGGTCTTCATTGCTGGAATTATGAGGAATACAAGTTCCCACAACCGGCCTTAATTGTCGGAATTTTGAGGATTGTTTTCCATCATCGGTCTTCATTGCCGGCTTTCTCTGGTGGTTGATATCCTATCCATAATCAATGTAGCTCTATCTATTAGCGAGTAATTGCAAGCTGGTCTCCAGCTTGAGGGGGAGTGTCAAAATCTCAGTCATCCCTTAGTATTTGATCCCACGGTCAGGATGAGAATCCGTGGGAGGCTCACCTGGATCACGCCAATATCCTTCTATATTTGGATAGCTGAATTAGGAAGGATTATATTGAGGCAATTATGTATCAATTAGAAGTTATTTATTTCTTTATTAAGACATCTTGTATAGATCTATAAATATGGATAATTTTTGTATAATAATGAGAAGGTATTTTTACCCTTCTCAAATTCTATGAATTCTAATAGTTTTGAAGCTTGTTTTATGCATCCCCATGATTAATAACTTACTTATTTTACATTCAACTTGTGTTTAATTTCATAATGCAAGTCTTCACATGCTAGTCGCCTAGTCCTACATCATTTAATATCAGAGAGAGGTTGCCCTAGTTGCATGTGCTTAGATCCATCCTATTTATCTTCATTTTAGCCTCTAATTGCATTTCTACGTTAACATATTATTGACCTTACTTATGTGTTATTTTGTTTACAATGTCTAGGTGTTGTCCACTTTCCTTTAACATCTAGTGTGTCACCTATTTGTCATCCTATGGACCCTAAACAGTTGCAGCGAACTCTAGATGATTTGGTAGGTCAAATAGGCAACTTAACCCAACAAGATAGGGCTAACCAAGTCGATGCAGCTGAATTCCATCGGCTCACAACAGAACGCCTTAACAACCTTGATAGAGCTAGGAGCCTACCCTCTCTTTACACACCATTAGGCCACCCTCCTTGATTGGAGATGATTTAGGCCAAAATGAGGGACATCCCCGTGCCCCTTATCCGCCCCAGCAACCTAGGCAGGACTGAGACCTACCTCATGGTCCAAAACATGTGTTTAGTCATAAGGCTCATCATGCGAATGAGGGACACCCTCGTGGCCCCCACCTTGCCCATCAAGCTAGGCAGGACCGTGAGCACCACATGCGTGATCCGGATGCTCCCCTCTTAAAGAACATCAAGATAGATGCCCCTACCTTTGCGGTAGCCTTGATCCTCAAATCTTCCTTGATTGGAGCAAAGGCATGGATAGCTTCTTTAAGCGGTACAACATCTCAGAGGAGCGCAACGTTAGATTTGTGGAGATGAAATTGATTGGTAGGGTCAGTCAGTATTGGACCAACTTAGAGAACCTTAGGAAATCTCGTGGTGACTACCCTATTACCGACTAGATAACCATGAAGCGTGAGCTTAGGCAAAAGTAACTCCCACCCTCCTTTTTTCCCGACTCTTAGATTGGTGGAATAGACTCACCCAGGGTAGCAAATCTGTGAGGGGCTATATTTCTACATTTGATGATTTCTTGATTCGGTGCACTAGTGAGACCACCACCACACCTGCCCAGATTCTGTCCATGTTTAGTGTTGGGTTGTGTTAGGATCTCCGCAAATAACTGTTTGCTAGAAACATCACTACCCTAGAAAGTGCCTACAGTTTGGTACTTGACCTTGAGGAGTCTAAACCTCAACATCCTACCCGTTACCAGGATGTCAAATCCTCTTTTAGACCCTTTGGGGGCTCGAGCCTCTATGCCTCTAACCCAAGGCCGCCTCCTAGTCTTGCTAGTCGAACCCCTGCTGATTCACATCAAATGAACCTGTTATTCCAATTCAATCAAGAATGCATACTGGCACTAAGCCCTATCTAAGAAATTTCAAGCACTTCATTCTTAATGTAGTCGGGTTTTGGTTCTGCCACTCCAAAATCATAATATTATATGGTGCAAATAGATCTATAAAACTAAGTTCAATTCAAATGGGTATGATTCAAGGTAAGAAGCTTGTCTTCTAGCTCAAAGGCATGATCAAGAGTAAGACTTTGATTATACTGAGACATTTAGTACCGTTGCAAAGCTACATACCACTCATATTTTTATTACATCAACTATTAATTGGAATTATACTAATCTTAAGTTGCATGTTGCTAATACATTTTTACATAATAATTTATCTAAGATAATACATATGTAGCAGTAACAGGAGTTTCGGTCTTGGGCATCCTCATTATGTGTGTCATCTTAACAAAGGCATCGACGATGTAAAACAAGCAACTCATCAATGGTTTGACAAACTGACCTCGCACTTGTAAGAGCACAACTTTAAACAAAGTATTGCAGACCTCTCAATGACATACTATTGACGAAAAATGATGCTTCCACCATCAGAATTTTATTTACAAATCCACCGCACCTTTCAAACTTCATAATTTGGGAGCGGGAGCTTTGTCATAGTTTTTAAAAATAAATGCTATTTAGACTACCTTGGGTTGGACCTACATCAAACGCTTTATGTTACATAATTGATGCATGGCTCGAGTATCAAAAGTGTAAGCTAGTCAAGACTCCTTTATCTCCAAGTCTCCTATCCATGAGCATCAAGACTCGATCATTTAGAATCCTGAATTGTATCAACACATGGTTGGAACACTGCAATATATAAGAACCACCACACCCAATATTTCATTTGTTGCTAATAAGGTGTTAAATAACAACATAATAGTTTCAATAGTCAATTTCATATTATCAAATGCTTTCTTTTGTATACAAAATGCACAATACATTATGGGCTTCCAATTACGCAAGGTTCTCCACAACTATGAGCCTTCTCTAAATTGGATTGGGGTAGTGATACTTCATAGAGGAAATCAACGATGTTACTATGTTTACCTAGGTCACGCTTATTTCTCTACGTATTAAGAAACAATCTATCATTTCTTGTTTATCAACCAAGACTAAATATAGTGATCTTGCCACAACTGTGACATTGATTGACTTTGTCGGTTATTAAAAGAATCTAGCCTTCAAATCACTCAATAAACACCACTTTATTGTGACAATATTACAGCATTAGCACTTGTCAATAATCCTATGTTGGTGCCAAGCATATTGAGGTTAACTATCACTTTATTTAATATTGCATCAAGTCACAGGAAACCGCTGTCCATCACATTACTTCTCAGGATCAACTCGCAAATATCTTTACCAGAGTGCTCCCCTAATTACAATTTTGCTTGCTCAGAAAAAAAAAAGTTAAAGATTTGCCTCTAATCATCAACTTCGAAGGAGGGGTTAGCAGAAAAAAAAGTTGTGCTTGCAGCTTTTGCTTCCTGTCTGCAACTTCCTCCCACATGAAAATCTCCACCTTGTGTACCAAACTATCCATTTAATCACAATCATATGATTGCAAATAATACCGAAACAATTATGATTTAGATTCTTAGTTTTCTGTATTTAACACTTTGTTGTTGCATTGCTAAGTAATGAGAAGAGGCAATGCGCTGCTTATTCTTCTTCTCTTCACCAACCTTTTCAAGGATGCTTAGTTAACAAATATAAGTTAGTGATTCCCCCAACTTATAAGGTTATATTGATTTAAGGTTAAATTTTAAACACTGTGCGATTGACTAAAGCTTCTTCCGCTTCTTGCACGACCAAAATTCAAATAAAAATTTAGGAAACCAAGCAAATCTATTACAGTGACACTCTCAACTTTCCTTCCTCCACCAACGTACATGCAACCAAAGAAACATCAAGCAAAAACCACTGACTCACTAATAAAGTACCAACCACCTTGATCATACTAATAAAATGAACAGGAGTACGCGAAAAACGAACATTACCAGCATCATGGTCCGAAGGCTGGCGGGCGTGGGATGGGGGATCTCCTCCGATGTCGCGGGTTAGTGCAGCGGAGAAAGCTTCGACGTCCGCCCCAGAATGCAAACTCTCGTCCTGAGAATCAGGATTCGCAAATTAGAAGACATATAAAGATCGGCCGATCGAATAGGAGGGATCATCGAGTAGAGCAGGGGTTTGATGTTTTCAAGGAGGGGGCAGAAAGGGGAAGAACCTCGTCGTCCTCCAGGAACTTCACTATGGATGGATCCATTCTAGGGCTTTGAGGCTTTTGTTCCTCCACCAGAAGCTGTTAAATTCGTTTCTCTGACTGATGAGGAGGGTGAGGACGGGGCTCGCGCTCGCGCGCTAAGGGGCTGTTTGGTATGCGGATTTAGGCCGGATTTAAGGCCGGATTTGGGCGAAATCCAGCGAAACGGAGAGGGCGGAAGCTTTACATTTTCATTGTTTCCCGAAAATTTCTAGTAGTCATTGGTTTTATAAGCTATAATAAATAAATATAATATTTATGGTGATAGAGATATGTAAAGTTTAGCATCATAGTTTTGTGCAAATATGTAGTGCATAAATAGATAAAAGAGTAGTGTGAAATATTTATAAGAGACATCAAGTTTTTTACGTATAAAATCTTGAAAATGAAAAAAATCATAAGATATGACCCAATTTAAATGAATGCACTAGTATTGATACTTGATTATAAATAATATCTATCTTTAGAGGGAGCAATTATTACATCCTGTATCTGAATGCGTTCAGAGACCAATAATCACGTGTCACGTCACCTAAAACTCAATATTTTGGACTCAATATTGCTCGGTATACATTCGGATTGTTTGGTTTTTGACCAGATGTAATAATTTCTCCTTTAGAGGAGGGTGCTGACTCAATGTAGCCAATATATGTTGTATAGAGTGTATTATAAGGTAACAGTTCTAAAGAGAATGTTGACATATTTATTTTGTCAGTACAACGTAGTTGACATACGAGGGTGTTCCAAATGAACGAAATCGACAGACGACGGTGGTCGGAGGGCAGGCGACAATGTTTGGGAGCAGATCCAGCTTTGGTAGCATCTGGCAAGAGTTCCAAAGATAGCTGATGAATGTGCGGAAATTCGACCATGATCGATTGTTTGGAAGAACTCCGGCAGTGGCAATGTTGGATGGAGAGTGCAAAAAAGCTCTTAAGCTTTATCCTCCTCTTCCCTCCCCCTCTTCAATGAAGAAATATGGATTATTAATAGTTTTTTTTTTAATTGCATGATTAATAAATAGGGAAAAGGTCAGGAGCATGTTGGGAGTGTTTCAATAGACGGCCGATATCAACTCCCCCGTTCATAGATATTTTATCGAGCATTTGTGTGTCTCAATGATGTCATAATTCGACAATCATGGACTCATTTGATTCATCTCATCGAGCAGCTCTATTCGACTATAAGCATGTCACATTTCGATACAAATTGGTCATTTTATTAATGTTCTGAAGCTTCCCAATATACCTTGCTCATTTGATTTGGACCCATTTGGGCTTGACTTGGATCGAATTTGTCAATTTGGTGTCGTTGGGTTCATTTTCTTTAAATGTTAAATTCAATTATAAGCTCGCTAAAATAGAAATTTAGATGATCCCAAATTTATTTTTTGAAGTTTCTGGTTCATATTTCGTTCAAGATAATGAATTAATTGTTTGTCCATTATGTGCAGGCACCAGCATAACAGAATACCACATTGGTCGCCCACTGACATTGTCATCATAACACTTCGATAATAGAATCCTGCTTCGAATGCCCACTGACGTCGGCATAATATCACATCACAATATCTCACATCAATTTTTTCAATGTATTTCATTAATTAAAGCATAATTGGACTGAATACAAAAATTATGAAAATGTCATAACGACAAACAACATAAATACTATTGATAAAAAAATTCATAATTTCAAAATATAATCAAATGTTTGGGAATTGTGTAAAACATCATTCTGAAGCTTTAATTGAATCGAAAACAATTTTTAGATGTTAAAATAAATTTTGAAGACAATTTTTTTTTTCAAAATCATCTAGCAAAATTTTTTTAATATACTCAAAATGTTCATAATCTTATTTTATGTAATTTATATAAATTAAGCTCGACTTGCGAGCTTGATAAGCAAGAGAATGATGTAATCAAGAGAATTTAATATTTATAGGTTTAAAAATATTAAATACTCAAAAGCTTACCTCCTTTAGGCCCAAATCAAAAGATATGAGAATGAGAACTCAAACAATAATATAATGATCAAATAAATCCGAAGATATTAACAAGAAATTAGTATCATATAAAATTAACAAAAAATTATGAGAATCATATTTGCATGTGAGGATGTTTTAAATTTCATGATAATTTATTTTGTTTAAATTTCAGTCATATTTTTATATAATTGCATCATTATCATGTAAATTATGCTATATTTTAAAAAAATTAATATTTATTATGTCACCCGGTTCGCCCCCGGTCAAACCATCTAACCACAAACCTCTCATTTTTAAATTAATTATCTGGTCCAATCTTCACAACATCGTCAATTGCAACTATTTTATTTGCGTGCATGTTGGATTTTTATGTAAAACAAATATTTCACAAGCTCCATTTTACAAATATTAAAACTAAGTTATGCATTGAGCGCTGTTAAAAAGAATCACGATCGTTAACCATCATGGCCACCACCACCGATCACTATTACCAGCGACCACACTGGCAACAATAGGTGAATACCTCCATCCACCTCCTATGACCGCCTTTGACCCCCTGTTACCACCACCGACAACCACTACCACTGCTGGCAACCCATAGTAAACATCGACACCACCAATTATCTTAACATATATGATAGCCAATAAAAAATTAATAAACATATTTTATTTTATATCAAAATTTAAATAAAATAAATACATAAACTTATGCATGTTCTCCCAACCTAGCTATATTTTTTTGCATGTAATGGAGACCAAATCAAACTCTTCGATTCTTCTAATTAAAAAGTTAAAATAGTTAAATGCACAAATTTACAAATTAGATGAATGTGAGATAAATTTTAAATTCTTCATCAATTAAGTAACACCCACTATTTATAGGTGATTAAGAAAACTGATTACATTGAATTATTTGTGATTAGAATCATAATGATGACTTTGGGAATCTAAAAGGAGCCAAAAAATTTTAAAGAATAATTTCATATATTAAAATTTCATAAACACATAGTATGGTATGCATATGATTCATCTCGGCCTAATCCGGCCCAGATGGTGGCTGATTATAGGGGCATAAGTGGATTGAACTCGACTAGTTAAAGAGCTTGTTAGGTGAACTTATTGAGTAATGAGCTTGGGTTCAAGTTCATATTAGAGCTCAAGGTCGAGCTCAACAATAAAAAGCTCTTTGATTTGCGAGCTAACTCGAATATATAATAAGCATTAATTTTTTCTTATATATATAGTCATATGATGCTTCAAAAAAAAAAAAAGTTTCATGATAGGACTTCCAAAGTTTTGCTGGTACCATCACTCCAATCCAATTTTTTTTACAGTGAAACCCTCTTCTTCTTCCCGAGCTCAAAATCTTCTTCATGGTGACTTCTTCCTTTTTCGAGTTAGTTGGTGGCATTACTTCCTAATTTCTTTGACGAGCTAAGCTCACGAGTTAAGCTTGAATTCACTATAACTCTGCTGAGCCAACTCACTATATGAGCTCGATTCGAGGGCAAGCATGTCTTTTAGTCAATGAGTTAAACTAGATTTAGCTCTAACTCAAGCTTTACTCAACTAACTTACACCTCTATATAATTGTTCCTTGATGGTGATCTGGCCCATCCCAAATCAAACTCCACATTATAAAAAGGAAAAAACTAAAAATTTGTAAAAATAAAATTTGTTAAAGATTAAAATCCTTATGATATTATATTCTTAAATAAATTTAAAAATATTTTTT